TGGAAGGATCCAGCAGCGCAGGCAGCACCACGGACAGCGGCGCAGGCTGGGCTCAGGATATGAGCCCGAGCCTCGCACTTGGGCCTTGGCTTGGCCGAGCGGCGTGGCCCACTGCCGCCGGACTTGTCTGCCCTCCAGCCTGGCTGTCTGCCCTCCTTCCCCCGTCAGCGTGCTCTGCCATCCCTGCCTCCTGGCACGGGCTGCACGACGGGTGTGGATGTCGCTGGTTGATTCGGGCTCTCTGGGTCCAACCACCCGCGCAGCCTGGGTCTGCCTCTAGCTCACTGGTTCCCCCTGCTCCTCTCGTCCACCTCCTGCCCTACTCCTTGCAATTCCTCAGGCACTGCCCCAGGGTCCTTGGTCACTTTTGAAAACGGGCTGGGGGCTCTCAATGACTTCAGACGCTTGTGAGGTTTTGGGAGGGAGAGGAGGGGAGTTTGATTCCTGCCCTGCCCAAGCTTGCAAACCAACTGCGTGGGAGCAGCAGGGGCATTTTAACTCTAAGGACAACGGGATGAATGACACATCTCTTGACGACTTCTGCCCTGGTTCAGTGTGTATCTCTGCACCTTCCTATGCGCACCACCAAATCAGTGCAGAATACAACAGTCACATTGGCTTTGGCTTTGATCTGACCCTGAGCACTATAGCTCTAGCCCCTCCATCATGTCAAGCTCCCGGTATCTGTGTAACTGGAGAAAAACCCGTGCTGTGTTTGTACGTGTCCTGTCACCCGGCATCTCTCATGCTTTGTTTGGCAAATGGCTCTGGAGTTCTCATGTGTTTGGCTGTTTGCAAAGTCCTGTATCGCCGTCTGCATTGGGCCCCTAGGGGTCATGGGCCGAGCCACCGTGGAAGCGGGTGCCTTTGGGGCTGAGCCAACAGCAGGGATGCACTGGATCTGTGGCTTGGCAATGGCCAGGCTGTGAGTAAATGGGGTCCCAGAACAGCTGTCCCCTCTTTCCAAATCCTGCTTGCACCCACGTAAGGTTCTGCCTTGGGCCCATGGTGCACTTGCAGGCTCACAAGCCTCTGCAGTAGGGCAGCTGGGCCTGGTCAAAGCGTGCAGGAGCCAAGGCTGGGACCATCGCAGGAAGCCAGGGTGGCGTTGCGCACTTAGGGCCCTTGTCCATGTAACACATTACCTAGATGCACCTCACGAAATGGCAGCAAAAATTGCCATTTTGCTACTTTAATCACATCTGAAGATACACGGTGACCTGGTTTTATCATGGGAGATTTCCAGTTATCGTGGTAAATTAAACTACCTCTGACATGTTTTATATTTAATGTGGGGAAATTGTGCCAGCGGGATTATTTTTAGCATAATAGTTTTTAAATGTGTATCCAAGATATAGCCAAAAATGGGATTTTCTGAGTTCTGCCACAATTTCTCTAACAGGTGCCACTTGACTTCACTCAGATGTCCATGCAAATCCTGTTGCAATGCGACCACTACACACCAGGTGCGAGTCTTGAAAATCTTTACTGGTTTGGCAGTTCAAGGAATAAAAAGTACTATTTGTTGGACTGAACATTTCTCCCGGTGTTTCTATTCGGTGCTCCCCTCACCCCCCAAAAAGTTCCTGACACCTCACCCCTTCAGCGCACCCTTTCCTTCAGAGCATGTGGTCGTGGCATGCACACGGCATCGTGTCCCTGCCGCGACTTTGGGGCTCCGCCCTCCCCCAGTGGACAATGCGCGGTTCCCCAGTTGCCACTTATAGGACACAAAAGCTTCACCCAGTACCACGGCATTTCCCCTGGTGTTCGCATTACTTTTTTGCAGCACAAACACAACTGTACTGCACAATAGGGTTGTGCAAAACACTTCCATTCTGTTTTGCCTTGAGTTTCGGTGGTTTGAAGGAACAGTGTTTCGTCTCGAATTTCACTTCAAGTCGAAACAGCTGTTCTGTTCTGTTCTGTTCCATCGAAACAGAAAGGCTGTTTCGACACTGTTCGAGTTTTGCTGGTGCTGGGAAGTCAGCCCAGCTGGGCTGCCTCCCACCCCCTGCTGGATCTTGCCCAGCTGGAATGACTTCACTTCCCCAGCCTATGGTCGAAACATTTTGACTTTTGAAACATTTTGACCAACCTCATTTTGTTTCGAGGCTATTTTGATGGCCTTTTTTCATTCCGATTTTGCTGTTTCAACCTCGAAATGGGTCGAAACAGTGTGGGAACAACAGGTGAAATTTCGCACAGCCCTACTGTACAGATCCAAAGCTTTAATAACAGAATTTAAAGTAATAACCTTCAATGAATAATTCAATAAATGAAACCATCAAACGAACAACCACGGTCCTCACATAATAGACCATAACAGTAGTGTCTCAGGATAACTGGACGCTCATCTCATTTTCACTCCTGTCAAAAGACAAATTTAAAATCTTTACAATGGATCCTCAGGATTAATGTGCAGCTAATAAATGTGAAAGTCAGAATCAAAGGAACTGGGCTTTCTTCTCACCCGACGTAACTCCAAAAGTTTGATTTTTAGAAGTCTTTCCAATTAAGTACCTACATAATGAATCAGTGTCCTGATTGGTAGTATTGCTCCTCCGTCCGGGTCGTGGCACCTCATGGGGCAGGGCAAGGAACAGCTGGCGGGGGAGATGACATTGAGCGGTTAGCCCGTTCCCAAATCTCCACTAAATATCATTGGCGTTTTCAGAAGGACCCCACCATCTGGGACTGACCAATGTCCCGCACTCTCCCTCCGGGTGCTGGCCCCCAAGCCCTGGTTGCCAGCTGGAGCGTTCGGAGTGGGGCAGTGCTGGCAAGAGGGGCAGGCGCGGGACCATGTACACAGCCGTGTGTACTAGAAGTGTAGCGGGTGGTCTTATCTCGAGCACCCGTTGAGTGGGAAAGGGTGGAGGAGAAGGTACCCCTGTCTGAGGCAGTGGCAGGGCTTGGGTAACACTGGGGGCAGTTTCCCCACATTGTCCACCCTTCCCAACTACCTGTGTCGAAAGGCACCATGTGGGTCTTTCATTTTGTGGCTTGGCTGCTCCGTGTCTGGTTCTTCTCTCCCACGGTGTTATTATCAATGCTTTATGCTAGATTATCTAGGGGGTGTTCTACTGATTTGGAAAGGGCCAATTGCTCATCATCAGTGACCATTCCTTAGTCCTTTGAGGTGAGAAGTGCCCTGAGCCACGGGGCACAAAGGCACAGTGCATCACCTAGCCCCAAGCTGGCTGTCACCAGTCTCATGATTCATGTTATGGGGTCCCTCCCTGTTTTCCCCAGCCAGCTCCTCCCTGTGCAGCTGTCTCGGGCTTCCGTTTCCCGGGCCCCCACCTGAGGGAGTGCTGAGTTGATGAGTCTCAGGGAAAGGGATTTCTGTTGTTTGGGGATTAGGGGCAGGGATTGGGATGGATGGAGAACACGGGAACTTTGTTGGAAGAGGGTGGGGATTGGATTGCGACTAGGCGATGTGATTTGGGTACTCTTTGGAGAATGAACGGAAATGGTTTTAAAAGGGAATGTACGCTTCTCCTTGTTTGGCAGCAAACAGCTCTGCACACTTTCAAAAAGCCTTCTGTGAACTTTATTTCATCGGCAATTTCACAAGCACTGATGAAACAGTTAAAGCAAAAGTAAGAGTGTTAATAGCAGATAAGGAGTAAACCTAACCGCAAATTGCCAAGTTCCTAAACCCCTTCCCCCAGCCTTTAATCTTAAAGCATAATCTGGTTGCATAAAATGAGGTGGGAGCAGATGAGGGAGCATTGCCTAACAAAGCCCACCACCACAGGGAGCACTACACAATCCCATCACCCCTGGTTTGACACCTACCCCCAGATGCTTAACATTGAAAACGGTACGTGCATTGAGTACGTAGTAATAAAAGGTAATAGGAAGTTAGAGAGGCATTACAGCTGGAGCACTGTCGACTGCCTGTGGACTGGAAATGTTAATAGGAGGTCGCTCATCTTTGGGTACACTCATGCTTTAGAGATGAGAACCTGTTGCCACATGAGAGACCCTCCCTATTGCCCAACCCCTGGGGCTGATCTGTACCCTGCTCCCCTTCATCCCTGACGGGTACTGGGGCTCTCCTCTTGCGGATGGAGGAGGCACGGCTCTCCTTTGGAAGAGAACGCACAGTGGGGTGCAATGGCCTGTTCTCACTGTTGCTCTCGGTAGTGTTGCCATCACCAAAGCATGTTAAAAGCTGCTGTCTAAACCTTGCTGCCAGATGATCAGCATCCTTGTGGAAATGCTCAACAATTCCTAACATTTCACTAGTCCTGCTCTCTGTAGCAAGGAGTCGTCCCGGTGCTGGTCTCAACCCTCTTGCTTCCAGGCGAACCACCCGCCTGCCTCGTCTGCCATGCCTTGATGTTCCTGATTGATGTTAATCAGGCAGGAGGCTGCCCTTTACCTGCCCTGATGACAAGGACCACTGCACTCATTCCAGGCTGGGGATGGGACAGGGCTGTGGCAATGCTGGTCGGGGGCACAGACTCTGCCTGGGGTCTCTGCAGCACCTATGAACCCCTCTAGCAGCAGCAGGATTTTGCCCACTGTGGCTCCCCTGCTTTCCCAGGGGCAGGGGCAGGTGTGAAGCCCAATGCGGTATCAGGGCTCTCAGTCATGTTGCTCAGAGGTTTGACACTGGGTTTTTCTGGGCTGGTTTGGACAGAGCTGATCCCTCCTCAGGCCAAGGCTGGACTAGATGTGAGCTCTACAGCTCTACTGCTCTCCAATATCCCCCAACTTGGCTCCTCAACAGCTCCCACCCCCCAACTCCCACCTGCACCTGTGAATTCCCCTCCCCTGAGGAGAGTCTCCCCTGTGCCAGGGGAAAGGTCTGCGGATTACCAGCCCCACATGTTTGTACAGCAAAGGTGCAAAGAAGCACAGGCACAGGTAGGGGAGAGCCCAGAGGCTACTTTATTGGTAATGCTCCACCTCCATCAGCAGATCCCTGCAGGATCCCCAGTGCAGGGTCCCCATTACTGGGGTTTCCTGTGTTCTGGGACAACCTAGAAGAGCTCAATCTTCTGAATCTCCACCTCGGGATTGATCTCCAGGACCTTCACTTCACACAGGGGGATGCGGTGAATGAATTGCCCGAGCACCACCTTGTTCACAAGAACCTGGGAGGGAGCGAGGCGTGCATGAGGCCATAGGTCTGATCCAGACCCTGGGTGGGTGGGGAAGGGATGTTTTGGGGGGGATCTCTTCCAGTCCCTGTTTGGGGTGTGGAGGCAGGGGATTTGTCTCCAGGGCTGCGCAGAGTAATCAGAGGCAGGGCAGGGGAGTGGGCACATGCATGCACACAAACATGCATGCACACTCACATGCATACATGGATGGCCACACACAAACACAGCCATCTGCCTACAACTCCCCCACTCACCCCCACACCTGCACACACTCATGCCACCCCTCCACACGTCTTCCCATCCCACCAACTCGGCACAACTCTCAGCCCAGGCCCTGGTGCTGGGCTGTGGAGGAGCCTCTGCCGCCCTCGGCTCTGGGCTTCCTGGCTTGCCCCTGGCCTGGATCCCACTAGCCCTTCTTGTGGGCTCCTGCCCTATCTCCCCACATTGCCCCCTGCAATCCCCTCCCTACCCAATGGCCCACTGGACCCCAGTACCTCAAAGTGCTGGTCAGTGATGTGGAACTCCAGCAGGAAGGAGGCCCCGTGCTTGAACGGGTTCCCTGCCATCACCTGCTCAGACTGCCAGCCGTGGTTCTGGAAGCTATTGAACACCACAGCGTTCTGGTCGAAGCGGGGGTTGAAGTGAAAGGCTATATTGCAGTTGGGCTCCTCCCCACAGCTGAAGTTCACAGCGAACCTGGGAGAGTAGGCAGAAGGCAAGACCTGTGAGACCCCGAGCCCTGGACCCCAACCCTCAACCGGAGCGTAAACCTGGCAGGCAGCTTGGCAGAGGTCCATCACACCATGAAGGCTGTGGACCAAGTGACCATGGGGCTGCTGTTCGTCGAGTCCCAGCACACTAGAACCAGGAGGGACCTGCTGAAATGAGTAGGTGAGAGGCGTAAAAGTAACAAGAGAGTTGACTTTCTTAAGGAAGCACCATCGTTCCCTGGTGGAAGACTTGCTGCCATGTCTCATGGAGGGGCGGTGTGCACGTGCATGCTGGTGTGTGTGCAGTTAATTTAGGGGCCCTGCTGTAGGGGTCGGCCCCCACCACCTAAGCACCCTACCCCACCCTGTCATTAAGGCGAGATAGGATCTGATGTCAGATGTGGACACATGTGGACGCCCGGGTAGGACTCCTACGTGTGCAGTCACTTACCTCTGGCTGCCGCCCGGCACGGAGCCCTGGATTCTCACCCCCGTACAGGGGTGAAAACAATCCTGAAAAGCCAGGGAGCAGGGGACGGTCTGAGAAGGGGAAAAGAGAGGAAAGCTCAGGAGACAGCACTTGGGAGAAGTGGAAAATATGGGACTCGCAGATGCTCCCTGGGGCCATGGGCAGAGCCCCCGCCCAGGGAGAAGGGCTGGTACTCACCAAGCTGGTGACAGACTTGAGAGCCATGGTCGCTGCACGTCTCTCTCTGCCCGACCGAGTCAGCTGGGCTCCGGCAGCAAAGACGGCCCCTTATATGCCAAGCTGGTCCCTGGATAGGGGAACCCCACCCTCTGCTGATTCATCTCCTCCTCCTCCTCCTCCTCCTCCTTCCTCCAAGATCCACCTTTGCCCTGTTTGACTTTGCCAAGGGGCAGCTTTTCCCTCGCACTCCCCGAGTATTGCCCAGATAGGAACACGGGTACAGGACCACCCCGCACCTCGACACGGGCTCTTGTTCTATATGAGAACGGCAGAGCTGCCCTGGCCTGGCTCAGACCCCGGGTCCTTCATCCCCATCTCCCATGTCCCAGGGTGCCAGAGAGTGAGGCTGGATGGGAGAGTGAGGGGGTCCGAGCAGGGTTTTCCCCTGTTCCTATCCCCCTCGCAGCTATCCAGGGTCTAGGACGTGGTGACCCCAAGGCCGTGCCCCACACTCCTGTGCCCTGCAGCCCCCAATGCCCCTTTGCCTCAACACAGGCCCGGCCCCCAGGTGGATCTGGCGAACTCTACACTCCCCCCGTGCCCGGTAGGCACGAGCTCCCCCTTTCACTCCACAACCCTTCCGGTGTCAGTGTTAAGCTGCCGGCCTGCCTGGTTTATGCCAGGAGCCCTCATCCTTGTCTGAACACCTTAACTCGGGTGCAGTCACAGGAGCTGTGGGGTGGAAATGGCTGCCGGTGAAGTGCTGGCGGCACCATGGTTACACACATTGCCAATTGCTCAAATCACGAGTGAGACTTTATAAAGGGGGATAAGGCAAGGTGCCGCGTTTATTGATCACATGACTTTGGCACAGAGGTTCGGGCACACCACTCATAGAAACGCCCACAAATCATCATACACATCATTACACACAGGCATACACATACACAAAACAACCATTTCATCCACCCCCACCCAGATATAGATTTCCTCCACCCACCCCCCCCCCAGATATAGTCACCAGCAATAGGTGCTCAGTATCGCCCAGGGTGGCCAACCCGGGCTCATTGAGTAGATGATGATGATTTGAAGATGGCAGGTTTGAAGAAAACAGCTCGAGCGGGGTGAACACATGCATCTGTGCTCCGATGAAGTAGCAGTAGGGAAGAGTAGAGAGAAATGCCAAACTGGCGTTTTAAAGTGTTTTTTATAGAGATCGGTGTCCTTTGTTTCAGTGCGTCGGGGTTTTTATACCCAGCTTCTGTTTTTGCGGTTGGGTTTTTGCTTGCTTGTTTGCTTTTAGCCTATCTCAGCCTTGGCGTGTTCTTGCTGCCCGTTTGGCAGGACGGGCTCTGCTCTTTAGCACCTCCTCGCAATTCCTCGCTGCGCTCCGCGAGTCTGTCTTCAAACCCCTTCAGAGATTTTTCACTTTTCAGCAGGTCTGTGGCTCTAGCGGTTTTGTCTTCAACTCTGAGGGCAACACTTTCTGCAGCAGATCTCTCTTGCTAGCAGCTCTCTGGAATCCTAGCGCTTCCTTTGAGGTCCTACCTAACTTCCAGCTTTTCTTTCCTCCAACAGATTTTAACTATAACCTTTTTTGGGCTACAAGCGTTACAACGTGTTCTCATCAGTGGCCCCTTTTTGGCTTCGCTTTTTGCACACCGATTCATCCAGCAAATTGTGGTTTTTGTTTCTTACAGCTGCACACCCTGTGCTGGCCTTGCCTTCTACAAACTAAAGCCAATCCTTGTCTCTTTTCCTCACAGACACACAGGCCAGTAAGCCCCATTCCAGCTCCCTCCAAAAGACCCCGGGGGACAAATTGCACACCACACACAATCCTTCAGAAAACCTTTTCCTACCTTAAAAAGGACCCGTCAAACTATGGCTCTGCAGAGAAAACCAAAACATGCCTCTGATAAGCGGACTGCCCTTTCCCCGCCCAGAGGAACTCCAAGTCATTTGATCTCTGCTTTCACAGCGTCCCCTGCGGTTTCCCCAAACAAGCTGTTCTGCTCCTGCAACAATCTCTAGCTCTTCTAGGCCCTTCACTGTTCCTGGAGAGGCGGGCGGGGGGAACCAAGTTTCCCCTCCCTTCCAATCACAAATTCTCTGCCACTGCCTGAGCAGATGTCCAGTAACATACCTTGTCTCTTTCTGTGCCAGCAACAGCCTCGCTTTTTTCTTTTTCTTTTTCTTTCTTTTTTTTTTTTTCGGGTGTGGGGGGGGCACACAGGATCCCAAAGTATCTGTCTTACATTTCTCTAACCATCTTTGATCTCTTCAAAGCTGCACTGCCTGCATAGACTCTGCCTTACCATCACTTGCACTCGTAACCTCCAGCTTGCAAACTCCACAGAAAACACACAACTGCTCGTGTAACCCTCCAGAAAAGACTCACCCTTCCCGAGGACCCTGTCATTCACACGGCCTCTCCAGCAGAGACGTGGCTTTCTCTGCTCTCTTCTAGCGTCCTATTGCAGACACAACCGGAGGTTCTTACTTACCGCAGCATGCACTCATGTCCACTACTCTGCCTGACCCAGACCAGGTTTCTGGTCAGCAGTAACAACCCACTTCTCCTGCACACAACTTACAACCCTAGTCACAATTACCGTACAACTTTACCTTACTACAAATTTTAGCTAACCCCTTTAAAATGCCTCCTAACAGTTACTTAGACGGAGGAACAGATTTTTAGTAGCTTCCTATAAAAGACACATTGCTGCAGCCTCCTTTTTCATGGAGTGGGGTGGTGTATTATATATCTGCACATAGTTCTCAATTTGTCTTTTAAATCTGCAATGGGACAGGCGTCTGGTACTGCCTGCTTGGTCCATGGGCTACGTCTAAATTGCTGCAGCACTTGTTTGAAAAGACTGATATTTTGGAGACATGTAGGCAGGGGATCTTGGACATTTTTCACACCTGCCTCCCTCTTTAATGTCTTTCTTTTGAATGTCTTAACTTGCATCTCCTGTATTATTCTTACCGCTTAAAGTTAGTTACCATTCGTTATTATTCAAATCCAGTATACTAGTCTGTAAAAATGTGCCCCAAAGTCCAATTTCAAGATAACTAAGTCCAAAAACATAACTCAAACCAAAGCAATGGATCCCTCTTTATGGCCAAGGCGGACTACCCCAGGAGTTCATAATCCACAGGTGGGCTTCTAAAGATCCACAACCCACAGGTGAGCTTTCCAAGTCAAACAACTTGTCCAAGTATCCAAGTGCCCACCGGTGGGCTTCAAACTCTCTAAGTCAAACAAATTGCCTATCTCCCGGCATTCCCCTCTTTTTTTCATGTGGTCGCTCTAACCTGAGACCACTACACCCGGCACTTCCACCTCCGGGCGGTGCGCACACCTTCAGATAGACGGACAAACACATACCCAGACAAAACTTACTATACAGATAACACACAACTCATCCTTAACCGCAACATTGAACGTTATTTACCCCCACACGCATTCTCCACCAAAAATGTTACACTAATTGCCAATTGCTCAAATTTCAAGTGAGATTTTTTAAGGGGGGATATGGCAAGGTGCCATGTTTATTGATCACATGAGTTTTACGCAGAGGTTCGGGCACACCATCCATACAAACACACACAAATCATCATACACATCGTTACACAGAAAAAAACATTTCATCCAGACACGCACCAGATATAGTCACCAGCAATAGTTGCTCAATACCAGGCCAGGGTGGCCAACCCGGGCTTACTGAGTAGATGATGATGATTTGAAGACAGCAGATTTGAAGATAACAGCTGGAGCGGGGTGAACAGATGCATCTGTGCTCCGATGAAACAGCTGTGGAGAAAGGGACTCCCCACAACTTGGCAATTTCAAATCTTCTTTTATAGGGATTGGCATCCTTTGTTTCAGTGCTTTTGGGGGGTTTCATACCCAGCTTCTGTTTTTGCGGTTGTTCTTCTTTGGTTTTCAGCTTATCTCTGCCTTGGAGTGCTCTTGCTGCCCACCTGGCAGGATGGGTGCATTCCTTCTCCTCGTTATCTTCTTTGTGCCTTAGGCCTAAAAGGGATTCTTCAGCCATTCATTAATTAGTTTACTGACCGGTAACTTACTTTTGGCGCCGTGTTGCTTACGTAAAGAGTTTCATAGTTTCATATGTTCATAGTGTGGAAGTAAGTTTAACTAGGCCTCTTACTTGACTAGGAGGAGAGACAAAGAGAGAGAAAGAGAAGAGAAAAAGATGCTGATGCCATGTGTTTCAAAATGTTCTAAGATAAAGAAAAAGCTTCATGCCTTGTTTTGTCTGTGTGCAGATGTTAACCTTCTCCTTTCCGCCAAACTAGAAGCTGATAACTGTTCCCAAAACATAGTGTTTTTTTAAATAAGTAAACTGCTTACGTGTGACAAACAAATGATCAACATCTTTTTGTTTCTCTCAAGGTTGGTTTGTCCGAACCCTGCATCTTTTCTCGCTGTCTAAAGTATAAATATGCTTGTAAACTTGTAGCGGTCAGGGTTCCTTTAAGTGCTCTCCCTGTGATCACTTGTATAGTTTTAAATAAACCTAGATGGCTCTGCCAGTTCTAATACAACCAGAACGCGAAGTTTGATTTCTTCCACAATAGTAAGTCGGGTCGGAAGGGACCTGAGCAGATCATCAGGTCCAACCCCCTGCCATGGGAAGGAAAGGATGCTGGGGTCAAACAACCCCGGCTAGGTGACTATCTAGCCTCATTTCGAAGACCCCCAGGGTAGGAGCCAGCACCACTTCCCTTGGAAGTTGGTTGCAGGTCCTAGCCGCCCTGACCGTGAAGTAGCGCCTCCTGATGTCTAGTCTGAATTGACCCTCTGCCAGCTTGTGACCGGTATTTCTAGTCACTCCTGATAGAGCTCAAGGGAACAGGGTCTCTTCGAATGCCTGCTGGTCCCCCTTGGCCAGTTTGTAGATGGCCACAAGGTCCCCTCTCAGCCTTCTCTTGTGGAGACTGGACAGGTTCAGGTCCCGTAGCCTCTCCTCGTAGGGCCTGCCCTGCTGCCCCCTGATCATGCGGGTGGCCTTCCTTTGGACCCTCTCCATGCTGGCCACATCCCTCCTGAAGTGCGGTGCCCAGA